GGTTAGGTTGGGGTGCGGTGGCCGGTGACCTCCTCGTGGTGCACCCTGGAAACTCCCCACCTTCTGTGGGGAGGCTAACAACCGGCCGGGGGGGGAATTCCGCGGGGCTATACCGGAAAGGGCCACCCATACCGGGCAGGCCCGCGGAACGACGGGGGACCTATAGGGTCGTGGTAGGGTAGGTCTCCAAGACCTGCGGCGCGGCAGGGCTGGTCAACCCGGCCACCCTGTCGGGCAATCGTCGAGGATGTGTGGCAGCACAATAACTTGCAGAGGACTTCGGTCGGTGTATGGCGGCCTTCATGGCTCGCGGCGCGGCAGGGTCGGTCAACCCGGCCACCCTGTCGGGCGGAAGGTTGAGGACGTGCAGCAGCACGCAAAACTGCTGAGGACTTCGGTCGGTGGACGGCAACCTGCAAGGTTGCGCATATTGGTCGGGGACCTCACCCTGCTTCGAAAAGGCGGTTTCCGGTGTCCGACAACACCGGACAAACACAGCATGATGGCAAGTTTAAAGACGAATTTACCCCAGGAGGGTACCACCAGCTCCGCTGGTGGAGAATCCCTCCCCGAGGCCACTTTGGCCTCGGGCTGCCCCTCGTACTCTGGGGGGGGCAAAAACTGCTTTGACTGCACGACGACTTTGGCTTTGAATACGGACACAGATGCACGCGATGTGGAAGTGACGGGGAGTGGAATGGAAGAGGAAATGGAGCTGGACACGGAGTTGATGTTGAGCGAGGAGTCGACATCAATGTCCGAGAGCAGTCGCCGAGCCAGCCCCCTGCCAAGGAAGAGGAGAGGTCGACCGCCCACCACGGGCCATTATGTTGGTCTGGCCAAGGCCAAGTTGGCCCTCATCGAGGCGGAACGGGAGGAGGAGAGAAGAAGAGCGGAGGCCGAAGTAGTCGCTGCCTCGCGCGTGGCCCGGGCTAGAGCCCAAGCCCACAGGCTGTCGGAGACGGTCACTGAAGATGAGGAGTTTCAGGCGGCCGGCTCCCTCAGCCAAATAATAGAGGAGAACGTGGGGGTAATCAAGAAAGTGGCCACCACGTCCAAAAACTTGAAAGGGGGGTACGTGAGAGCCCTTAAGGACGCGGCTGAGGAGATCAGTAAAATGACAAAAGCTCTGCAAGGCAGATGCTCCACGGACGAGACAAAAGGGCTGCAGGCGGACAACGCTCGCCTGCGAGCTGAAGTAGCGCAGCTGCGCAAGGAGGTGGCTGACATGAAGAAACACCTCCTGGCATCGAACGAGAGGTCAGAGGCCACGGTTGAGATCAGGCGGCTGCCTGAACCACAGCCGCCAAGACAGCCAAACGACAGCGAAGAGCTAGTGCGTGCCATATTGTGCCAGGTGGGCAATATGATAAACGCAAGGTTCGAGGCGCTGCAAGACCGACTCCTGCCGGAGAAACGACTCCGTCCCCCGCTGGCGGCGGACAGCAGGACAGAGCCCGTGGACGGCGGCACACCGGAAGTCCCGAAAGCGTCGGGTAAAGCCAAGGGCAAAACCCCGGGCAAAGCCCCGAGCAAAGCCCCGAGCAAACCAGCTAAGGAGAGGGCGACGACGAAGCCCCAGGTCCAACCACAGCCAGTGGTGGGGGCTGAGCCGGAGGACCATCAGCCCAAAGAGCTGCCCTGGAGCACGGTGGTCAAAAAGGGGCTGAAGAAAAAGAAGAAGGACCGACCACGGGTGTTTACAAACACTGAAAGAGGGAAAGTTACAAGAGCACCATCAGATGGCCCACCAAAGACTGCGGCGGTGGTGGTCACTTTAACGCCGGAAGCTATTGCAAAGGGCCTGACTTACGACGCGGTCATCGCAGAGGCCAAAGCCAAAATAAGGCTTCAAGATGTTGGGATAACAACTGGAGTACGGTTCAGGGTATGTGCCACTGGAGCGCGGAGGTTTGAAGTGCTAGGCGCGGAAAACGGGCCACAAGCCGACGCCTTAGCTGAAAGGCTGGCGCAAGTTTTCAGCGGAGACATGGTCCGCATCTCTAGGCCAACAAAAACGACAGAGATCAAGATATCAGGGTTAGACGACTCGTCAACCATCGATGAGGTACTAGCGGCGGTCGCCGAAGCAGGAGGCTGTCCAAGGGAAAGCCTCAAGAGCAGCGGGGTGGTTAGAGATAGGTATGGAGTAGGGCATGCATGGGTGGAGTGTGCAGTGCCAACAGCGAAACGGGTGGCTGCAGCCGGTCGGCTGACCATATCGTGGGTGTCGGCCAATGTAACACTGCTCGAGCCCAGACCGATGCGTTGTTATCGTTGCCTACAGAAGGGGCACGTCAGGGCGCAATGCAACGCAGAGGAAGATAGGAGCAAGTTGTGCTTCCGATGTGGGGTAGAGGGCCACAAGTTCAAGGGCTGCTCGGCCAAACCGCATTGCACCATCTGTGCGGCGGCCCGAAAACCGGCGGACCACAAATTGGGTGGCAGGGGATGCTCTGCTCCAGCCCCCAAGATCACCAGAGGGAACAAGACACAGCCACAACCAGCACACCAGGCTCCAGTAGAGGTTGCTATGGAGACGGAGGAAGTAGACTCCAGAAATGGCTCTCCATCTTCTCCAAACTAATCTCAATCACTGCGCACGGGCTCAAGACCTACTCATACAGAGTATGGCTGAGTGGTCGACGCAGATAGCAGTGGTATCGGAACCCTACTTTGTCCCCAACAGGGATGACTGGGTGGGGGACGAGGAAAACCTCGTAGCGCTCATCGTGCCCCGGTCCGCGAGTTCCCTGTCTTTTGATGGGGTACAGAAGGGCCGCGGGTACGTGGGTGCTACAATTGGAGGAACGTTGATCGTCGGCGTGTACTGCGCCCCTAGCAAGAGCCTCGCAGAGTTCGAGGGCCTTCTCGATTGTATCGGAACCCTCGTTGGCAGAAATCTCCCCCATTCTGTGCTGGTAATGGGGGATTTCAATGCCAAGAACGCTGCGTGGGGTTGCACAATCACGAACGCTCGGGGTGCAGTCCTTGAGGAATGGGCATTAACCACGGGCCTCTGTCTCCTGAATAGGGGATCGAGACCCACGTGTGTTCGGCCGCAGGGCAGTTCCATCGTGGATTTAACATTCGCCTGCCCTGCGACTGCGAGACGGGTGTACGGTTGGGAGGTAGTGGAAGGTGTGGAGACACTATCCGACCACCGATACATCCGTTTCGCATTATCGATGACACCAACGGTCCCAGCACATCAGGGACCGGAGCCGCTTCACCGGGATACCCCTCGGTGGGTGTTGAAGCGACTCAACAATGACGTACTCACAGAAGCTGCCCAGGTTGAGACATGGTCGCCTGCGGACAGCTCACCTAACATTGACGACAGGGCTGCCGCGCTGCGTGCGTCGATGACTCGCGCATGCGATGCATCGATGCCGCGGCAAGGCCCCCTCCCACTGAAAAGACAAGTATACTGGTGGTCTGCAGAGATAGCAGCATTGCGCACTGCGTGCGTAGCTGCCAGGCGCCAACACCAACGAATACGCCGGAGAAGACGGAGGGATGAAATCGCCGAGGCCAATTCACATAACAACTACAAGGCCGCAAAATACACCCTGACCCGAGCGATATGTGAAGCGAAAGACAGGGCGCGAGAGGAAATGATTGAGACTTTAAACCAAGATCCGTGGGGTCGCCCTTACCTTATGGTTCGGGGGAAACTCCGGACACGGACATCGCCTCTGACGCAGAGTCTCCAGCCCCAACTGGTGCAGGGAGTGGTGGAGTCCCTCTTCCCCAACGGAGTGGCACACACGCCGCCTTTCAGGATTCCGAACACCTGGAATGAAAATCCTGACTCCGTTGGGGTGGAGGACATCCCGCCGGTCACCTCTGGCGAGTTCGGGGCTGGGATTCACCGACTACGCGCTAAGAGGACGGCTCCGGGGCCTGATGGCATACCCGGCCGTGCTTGGGTGCTAGTCGCGGACATCTACGAGGAGAGAGTAAAGGGGCTGATGAGCGATTGTCTCGCTCAAGGACGCTTCCCCTTGCTTTGGAAGAGCGGCAACCTGGTCCTCATTAAAAAAGAGGGCAGGCCTGTTGACTCTCCGGCAGCATACCGGCCCATAATTCTGCTCGATGAGGTGGCGAAGTTGTTCGAGCGTATTATCGCTAACCGGCTCGTCCAACACATGGCGGTGGTCGGCCCGGACTTGGACGAGAAGCAATTCGGCTTCAGGCCGGGCAGGTCCACTGTCCATGCCATAATGAGGGTAAAGAAGATAGCGGAGGAAGCTGTAGCTCAGGGCGATGTCGTTCTTGCGGTGTCCTTGGACATCGCAAACGCATTTAACACCTTGCCCTGGAGCTGTATCACCGAAGCTCTCCGCTATCACAAAGTGCCAGACTATCTACGGCGAATAGTGGCCGACTATCTTTCGGACAGATCGGTCTCTTACAGGAGTCGAGACAATTGGTGTCGTCATGAGGTCACCTGTGGCGTTCCGCAGGGCTCAGTCCTCGGCCCCCTTCTTTGGAATGTGGGCTACGACTGGGTGCTGCGGGGCGCCAATATCAAAGGCGTTGAGGTCACCTGTTACGCAGACGACACTCTGGTGACGGCGCGAGGAAGTACGCACCGAGAGTGCGCGATCCTTGCTACGGCCGGAGTAGCTCAAGTGGTGGGCAGAATACGTGCTCTGGGCCTCGAGGTGGCCCTGCAAAAATCTGAGGCCCTTTATTTCCACGGACCTCGGAGCAGGCCACCTCCGGGAGCTCACATCATCGTCGGAGGAGTGAACATCAAGATCGAATCAAGCATGAAGTACTTGGGCCTCATGCTAGACGGTAGATGGACCTTCGAGGACCACTTCCGAAAGCTGGGGCCCAAGCTGCTGCGTACAGCCGCCGCACTCGGCAGTTTACTGCCCAATGTTGGCGGCCCCAAAGCGGCCTGTCGGCGGCTGTTCACGGGCGTCGTCAAGTCGATGGCGCTCTACGGCGCACCCGTATGGAGCGGCGCCCTGAACACCCGAACGACCGACATACTACATCGGCCACAAAGGACCATGGCCATAAGGATGATACGTGGATACCGCACAGTGTCTTACGACGCAGCCTGCGCCCTGGCGGGCTCTCTGCCATGGGTGCAGGAAGCGGAGATACTTGCGGCTGTCCACGCTTGGCGGGAACAAAAATCTTTCACAGACGGAGCTCCGCCCTTAAGGGTTGAGGTCGAAGCTTACAGAAAGGAGAGGCGCAATGAAGCGGTGGATAGCTGGCGACGCCGCCTCCGCCAGACGCGGGCTGGTGCCAGGACAATCGGGGCAATCTGTCCAGTGTTCATGGCGTGGCTGAGGAGAAGGCACGGGACGGTAACCTTCCGTTTGGCGCAGGTGCTGTCGGGACATGGCTGTTTCGGCAGTTACCTGCGTCGAATTGGGAGGGAGCCGTCTGCAGTGTGCCACCACTGTGACGATTGCCCCGAGGACACTGCCCAGCACACGCTGGCGGAGTGCCCGGCGTGGTCACAACAACGGAGGGACCTTGTGGCCGCAGTGGGTGAAGATCTATCCCTGCCGGCCACAATAAAAGCTATGGTGACATCGGACGGAGCCTGGAGGGCCGTCCAAACCTACTGTGAGGCTGTAATTACCATCAAGGAGGAAGCGGAGAGGGCAAGAGAGGCGACCAGCCGGGACGCCATTCGCAGCCGCCGCACCGGAGGGAGAAGACGGGCGTACGCCCGGATGATCCCACCGTGACAGGACTCGAGTGGTGGGCAGGGGGAAGCCCGCCACTCAGAAGAGAGTTGAAGAGGACGCGTCCGTTTCCCGCGCACATCGATGAGGCTTAAGCCGATGAGGAGCCGAAAAGGCAATCACGACCGGGGCGTGTGAAGAATACTTTTCAGTGTACCCACGCCCCCGGTAGAAAGTGAATAGAGGGAAACAGTGGTGGTTTAGTGGGTATGCTCACATTCGGTGAGAGAATCCCACATAACTACCGTGCCTT